GACGACTTTGCTAGAGTACTAAACAAACAAATTAATAAAGATCATGTAGAGTTGCCTCTACGGTTTTGATGTATTTATATATATTTTTATATGCTTTGAACGAGTGATTCTTAATTATGTGCTCTACTTCGTTCAACATTCTTTAATTTCAATAGGCATTTATTTACTTTAATAAAAATCCATATTTTTATTAAAAATTTAAATCCTTATCGAATTTTGATTATTATTTAATTGTAATTTATTTATTTCTTTGTTATAAGTTATATTCAGCATTTTAAATATATTGCTGTTGAATAAACAAATATAAAAAATTAGGAAAAATGCAAATCAATTATATGAATATTAATTACTTTAAAATTTTATTGTCATATGTATAAAATTTTCTCTCACAAATTAAATATATAAATATTATGCAAATTAAACTCTTTTATGTAAACATTATTATCTTTTTAAGATTTCATTTTTGCTGGTACTAAATCTCACTCTCTCTTTTAATTTTACCAATTTTTCTCTCCAATTAAATCATTTAAAAAAAAATAAATATATTTTTTTTTTAGGAATACCCATTTTTCAAAAGAAAAATATCTCAAAAAAAATTCAATAATTTTTTTTTTTTTTTTTTTTTTCTCGTGTGCACAACCAACTAGATATTCTTCATATAGCTAGTTCTTTTTATTACCAAAAAAGTTAATGAAGCCTTTTATTAACCACCCCTCCTGGTATAATGAATCTGTGAATAATTTCCATTGTTATAATATGTAAAATGTATTTATGTAGTCTACTTTGTTGAAAATTTTTTAGCTTTTAAGAGGTATTCATTTAATTTAATAAGAATTACATTATATATATAAAAGGCATAAATCATCGTTGATTATTTATTTGTACTTATATATATTTTTAATTATGTTACGAAAAACCATTAACGCTTAAGTATATTATGTTAAAATAAACAAACACACATAATTAATAAATGCAATTAAATTATATATTTAGCATACATAAAAATTTTATTAATATTTAAATAAAATTTTCTCTTAAAAATTCAAAGTACAAATTCACTACAAAAGAAACCCTTTTTGTAAAAAAAATACAATGGTATTTTCTTTTTTTTTTCATCCTACAATCTTTTTTAAAAAAAATAAATATGCTTTTTTATTTATTTGATGTTATAACAAGAAAAAAATAAATTAATTAATATATTTTTTTTTTTTCATAGCACTTGCATGGTTAACTATATAATTCCCATATAACTATTTATTTTTATTTTCAAAAAGATTAATAAATCTTTTTATTAACCAGGAGTTTATAGCTTTTTTTTAAGTTAGAATGTAATATTAAAAAGAGAATACATTTTGGAGTGTTGTGTAAATTAACTCTAAAAAAAAACGATTAAATAGTAAGTAGTGTCTGATGTTAATAAATATTTTTAATTGAAAGTTTTAGTAAAATTAAAATTAAATTAAGTACAGTCTACTCTACATGCTCTTTATTAATTTTTTTTGCTTCATACATGGAATGTTATTGAACAGGTGGTTACTAAAAGGCTTTATTAACCTTTTTTGGAAAATAAAAGAACTAGTTAAATGAAGCATAGGACGTCGGTCACAAACACACACAAAAAAAAAATCATCAAATTTTTTTTTTGTTGGTACTTTTTTTTAAAAAAAAATGTACAAAAACACTCAGGAAAAAAATTTGAAAAAAAAAAATGCAAAAATCGTCAGGAAAAAAATTGATTAAAAAAAATCAATTAGAAAAATATTTGTTACAAATAAATAAATAAAAAAAAAAAAAAAAAAAAAAAGAATTTTTTTTTTTGGGGGAAGGAAATGAAATAATTTTTGTGATGAATTTTGTAAAAGAAAATTTTATACATATAACAATAAAATTTTCATGCAATTAATATTCGTATAATTTTTGATATTTGTAAATAAATGTTTATGTTTGTTAATTCAACAGCAATATATATTAATTGCTGAATGTAACTCATAATAAATAAACTAGTAATTTACAATAATTTATAATTAATATTTAATAAGGATTTAAATTTTTAATAAAATTAAAGATTTCTATTAAAGTAAATAAATGCCTATTGAAATTAAAGAATGCTGAATGAAATAGATTATGTAATTAAGGATAACTCATTCAAAGCATTAAAAAAATATATATAAATACATCAAAACCGTAGAGGCAACTGTACATGCTCTTTATTAATTTGTTTGTTCAGTACTCTAATAATGTCACCGAACTCCCAGTTAAAAACAAACAGGTAATTAATGAATGAATATTCTACGTCTCAACTTGAAATATATAATTCACTAATTGATTTATTAATTGCCTATTCTGTGACATTGCTAGAGTACTAAACAAACATATAAATAAAGAGCATTTACAGTTATTTCTACTAATTCATTGTGTTTATGTATAATTTTAAATTCTGTAAAGTAAATAAACTGTATTTATGTAGTTTATTTCGATAAATGCTTATTGTTTACAAGAGGAATTTATTTAATTTAATAAATATCCCTATTTTTATTAAAAATTTAAATTTTAATTAAATATTAACATTAATGAAATATATTTTTACTTATAATGTTTTGAATATACTTTAGCAACTCAATTCCACTGTTTCCAATTTAACAAACATAAATAATTAATAAAATACAAATTAAATTATATAAATATTATGAACTTGAAAATTTTATAATTATGTATATAAAATTTTTTCTTTAAATTCAAAATAAAGTTTTTTACAGAAAAACACTTTTCATAATAAATTATTTTTTATATTTTTCATTCATCATTTTCTTTCTTGATCCATTCAAAAAATTCCTTTTTAAAAAAAAATAAATATATTTTTTTACGTATTTAATTTTATAAAATTAAACAAAAAAAATTAACAGATAATTTGTTTTTTTTTTTATTTAGTGCTCGTATGGATAACTGAGTATTTTTTCATATAAATTTTTTTATTTTCAAAAAGGTTAATAATTCATTTTATTAACCATTAGTACATAATATGATATTATTTTCTAATGATTTATTAATTGATCTTTTAAATATTTTTATAGAATTTCAGATTAGTGATTTGTTAATTGACTAGCTAAGCATATATGCAATATTTGAAACAGTCATTCTAACAAACAAGAGAATGCAAAAAAATTTATACCTATTTTATTTACTAAAAAATCACTAATAGATTATTATATACTCTATATACATTTATGCTATATGAGATAAATAAATTTAATTTTTATATTACCTTTTCTTTTAATCACGTTTTCAATAGTTTTTTATTTCCAGATGTTATCTCTTATTTATTAGAAATTAAATCATTCACATTCCAATTTTATATAATAGAAAAATGTCAGCTTTTTTTGTTTGTTTTTTTTTTTTTTTACGTCAACGTTAAATTAAATTACTTTTTTTATTTTTTCCCTTCCAAAAAGAAATTTTTTATAAATATTTATCTGTACATTCACATTTTTTTATAATTATTTTAATATGAATATATTTATATGCTAAACTAGTTATACATATTTTGTATGTACTAGAAATTTTTATGAGTAACATTTTATCATATTAGTATTTGAAAAAGAATTGTAATAACTTTTATTAGTCAAATTCATAATTTTCAGTGTTATAAATGTTTATCTATATACTTCATATTTTTTATATAATTCATATTATTTAATTCAATTTACAATATTTTTATTAACATTAACCGAATATGATAAATACAATAATTCAAATATATATTAATTTAAATTCATTTCTGTATTTTCTGATATTTTTTAAAAAATTCTTTTATTTTAAACATATTTTCTATTTATATCATACTATGTGTGAATACTTGCACTGTTATAAATTATATATCATTAATTTTTTTTTAGCCATTTTTCATTTTTATTTTATATTATTTTCTTTATACCACTTCATAGTTTTAAATAAAGTTCTCAACAAATTATTTTAATAAAAATTACTTCATATGAATTACTTCTAATTTAATTTTACTTTTTAGTATCAATTATATTCAAATACATTGTCATTTTAACAAAAAAATTTTAGGATTAAAACATATCATCTATAATTATTTTTGAAAATATATTTTACATTCTACTTATATTAAATCATCATTATTATTATCATTAAAACAATAAATGATAATATCCATGTAATTACTATTATTCATAAGATCAAAATTATAGAAATGAAAAAATTTAAGTTATATAATACTTCTATTGATATTATTTCTTATTTTTTATATTTTTATTTTTTTTTTTTTTTAATTATTATAATATAACACTTTTTAATTTTGTTATTTATATAAGTAGCAAATGATATATTTAATATTATATTATTCTTATTTATCCTATTTTCATTTTGATTTTTATGAGTTTTTTTACTTTTTATTTGAATAAAGTAAATATGAAGTAGATTAAAGTACATAATATCTTCTTCATTGAATATAATAATTTAATCAGTTGCTATATAAATCTCTTTACATATTATATTGAAAGATGATTTAATCTATCTTAAAATTAATATTATAACAATTAAAAAAACATTTAACAAAGTTAATACTAATACGTATTATATCCATTCAAACATTATTTTAGAGTAATTATATGAGTACATAAAAAAAATAAGACTCCGAATCCATATATAAATTACAAATTTCATCCAATAAGGTAATCATTTTGTTTGTTTATAAAAATTTGTTTTTAATTACAATTCATTTTTAAATAAAGTTAATTTTTTTCATGTATATTATTTATTATTGTGTAAAAAGTAACATGATTTATTAAAAAAATATTGTATATTATGAATAAAAATTCGTAATGAATAAACTTTTAATATCTCCTGTAATACCATAAATTATGATTATTATTTTAAATAAATTCTCATCTATTAATACCAAAAAGGAAATAATATATATATTCATAAATAATGTAAAATAAAAAAAAAAATTGAACTTCAAATGTTTTTACTTTATAACATTAATAGTCATCAAACAAATTTACTTCAATAGCTATATCCTTTTCGTCTAAATCAAAATCATCATTGTCATTTTCATATTCCTGAAACTCTTCGTCTACAATTTTTGGATCTGATTCTTCATTTTTTTTGGAAGCAATAAAAGATATACCAGAGAATAACAATAGTCCACCAAATATTCCTCCTGCTAATTTAGCATTAGAAGCATCAAATTTACCTTTTTCATATTTATCATTTCCACCATTTGACTCCTTATTATTTCCATCTTCAAACTGTTTTATTATATTTTCATTTTCTTTTATAAGTTTTTCTATTTTATCAATTTCATCAATTAATTTTTTAATATATCTTTCTCCTTGGTATATATATTCTTGAGAATTTGAATATGCCATAAAATTATCGCTTTCTGATATATTATTAAATTCTTTATCCATTTTTTCTTTCTCATTTTTCATTTTTTCCAATATATGTTTCATTTTAGATTTTCTCTCTTTCAAATAATCATTATCATTTTGAATATCAACAATTTCATCTTTTATTTCATTAGAATTATTAAATTTTTTCATAACTTCTTTTTTCACTTCAACTTTTTTAGTTATTGTTTTTATTTTTTCATTATGAATATAATTATTTAAACTATCATTTGTCATTCTTATAATTTCATTTAAATAACTTTTTATGTTATTTTCTATTTTTTTTGCATCTAACTCCCTTTTAATGTTTTTACCTGTATTTTCTAATTTTTTCATAATTTCATAAATATTTTGAAATATTTGATTTTCTTGTAATAATATTTCTTTATTCTTCTGAATCATATACCGTATATGTTCAAAAATACGTTTTGATTCGTTTGTTTTTTCGTTTGTTCTTTTAACAGATTTATTTGATTCATTAGCTATTTTCTTATTTTCTTCATCTGATAATTCATAATTATTCTCGTATTGATAAGATTCCGTATCATTTAGTAATGTTTTTGTTCTTTCTATTAAATACGAAATGTGATCTACATACTGTTCCATATCTTTGTTTTCACTGAGACTATCATCCTCTAATTTTCTCATTTTATCCAACTCCATTTTAGCTTTTTCATAAATATCATTATATTTTTTTAAAGATTCCTCTGTGTATGGTGATTCAATACGTTTTGATTCATTTTCCATTTCTATTATATAATCCTCTATTACTTTCAACTTATTTTTAGAGTCTAATAATTTTTTTTCTTGAATATCTGGAAACTGCTCAAATGATTTTGCAATATCAAAGTATTTCTTAGCATTCTCTTCCATTTCATTTAATTTAGCATCATGAATATATTTATAAATATTATTTATATCACTTTTTTCCTCTTTCGATTTTCTATGATGCTCTTTTAATGTTCGAAATGCATTATCTGCATCAATTTCACTTTTCGTTTCACTTATTAAAGGAAATATATTTTGCATGTTAATAATGGTTTCTATTGCATCTTTTTCTTTTCTTTTGAAATCCTGAGCGAACATATTTGCATCTTTAAGATGAACTGATTCATATTTGCTTAAAGGATTTTTTGAATGAAATTTATTTGAATTACTGACGTCACTAGTCATTAATTCATGATTGTTTTTTATATATTGAAAACAATCATTAATATATACTTTTATTCTTTCAATTGATAATTTATCATTTGATATTTCAATATCAATATGTGTAACAATTAAATCTAACAATTCAAATTTAGAATTTCTAATTAGTTCTGATAGCTCATCAATAGTAGCATTATTTTTTATAGCTTTATTATAAATGCTGTTTAATTTATCCATAATTTCATCGATGTCTATTTTTATCTTTTGTAATATGATGATTGACGTAGTATCATTCCTTGAATTTTCTACTATATTCTCTAAATCATTTATAGAATTTTTAAACTCAAAATTAATAGTATCTATATCTATATTTAATTCATTCTCTATTTCACTTGATTTCTTTTTGTATGAACTTATCAGCTCCTTCAAATCATTGTATTTAGCATTATCCTTAAATATATTATCATATTCTTCAACATAAATATTTGTTTCTCTTATTTTAATACATTTCTCATGTAAACTATTTATTTTACCTGAAACATCATTTATTTTATTTTTAGATTCTTTAATTTTTTCTTTCAATTCCATTATTAATTTTATTTGTTCAATTATATTATCAGCTTCATTAATAATATTTTTACCTTCGTCTTCTTTGTTATTTATATCATTTAAGGTTTCTTCTATTTTTTCAACAATTTTTTTTGCATTATTTATAGTTTCATTTCCCGATCCTTCCTTGATATCTAGAAAATTTGCTATTTGAATAATATCGTTATAAATTATATCTGCTTCATTCTTATAAGAATATTTTGTTTTAATTATATTTATTTCATTATTTTCACTTTTTATTTCATCTAGATAATCTGAAGCCTCGATAACACTACCAGAATTTTTAATATTTTCCAAATTTATTTTAATTTCGTCCAGATATTTATCTACTTTTGAATGGTCTTCCATGGCTTTTTTATTTGTGATATCAATATTTTCTTTCATAATAGACATTAATTTTAATCCCTCATTATTTTTTATATTGTTAACATCATTTAACAACTTTTTCATTTGTTCAATTTGTTTTTTAAGTTTTTCTTTTTCTATATTTCCCTCTTCTTTTTTTTCTTTGGCCTCTTCATGAGTTACAGGACCCAAAACGCTTATAGAAAGATTTTCAATTTTTTTATATGACTCATTAAAAGTATCATATAATTCATTCACTTTTTTCTTAGCATCCTCTAGTTTTGGTTTTATGTCATTTTTTTTTTCTGAATACTTTGAAAAAAATTCAATTGAAATATCAATCATTGAATTTATTGAATTTTTTATTAATTCAATGTCCTTATCATTATCAGCTTCTTTTTTTATTTCTTCTAAAACTCCTTCTTCATATGTTTTCTTCATTTTTTTCAGTTTTATTTCCATGTTATCAGCATTATCTTCTATTTGTTTTAATTTTTTCTCTTCATTAAGCAAAAGAATTTCGGAATTTTTTATCATTTCTAAAGTATCAGAAATACTTTTTAAATAGTCTTGCTCTATTTTTAATTTATCTGATATGTTTCCTTCACTACTCTTAGGTTCAGTTGATATTGAGTTTATTGCGTTTTGAACATTGCTGAAAATATTTTTTGTACTTTTTTCTATTATTTCAATTTCTGATAATGATACATTTGCATTATTTTTAATAGATTCTATTTCAATAAAAGCACTGATAGATTTTTCACTTTTTCCTTCATCTTCATTTTTTATAATATTAGCTTGTTTCTTTAATTCTATTAATTTCTTTTTTGATACTTCTAATAATTTTTCAATATTATCGTATACATTTTTTATAAGGTTAAATTTTTTGTTTATTTCATTTTTTTTTTTTTGAGATTTTATTTTTTCTGCTAAAATCAATGATTCATTTAAAATGTCATTTACTTTGGTCTCATATTCAGATGCCAATTTATAATTTTTGTCTGCTCCTTTTGCATTTTTATCTGCTTCATTTGTATAATTTTCAGATTCATTTACATAGTTTTCTATCCTTTCTATTGTTTCATCTGTGATTTCTTTTTTTGTATCTTGATTGTGACTTTTCAGATATATAATTTTATCTTTATCCCTTATAACATTATGGTAATGAATTGATGATGCTCCTTTGTATTTTTCAGCTTCTATTGAAGATTTATTCATAATTTTTACATTGTCTGAAACAGCATTTTTAATCTTTTTAATTTCTTCAATATTATTGTCGATATCATGTTCCTCTAAGTTAATTTTTAATGAATCCTTTAATGTTTTTGCATTTTGAAATGAATCTAGTATTATACTTTTAGTAGTTTCCGACTTTTTTAACTCATTTTTTGCTTTTTCACTTTCTTCCTTGGCTCTTTGAACATTATTTATTATTTCACTCATAATATTTTTAAAATTTTCTGATACTAAAGTTTTTTCCATATTTTTAATTTCATCTAAGTTATCGCTTATTATGTTCCTAAAATTTATAGAATCTATCATATGCTTTTCAACATCTTTTTTGATTCTATCAATTTCATTTAAATTTTCATTATCATGTGCTTCTTTTTTTAACTTGCCTGCTTCTATTTCTAGTTCAAGTATTTTGTTTTTATTTTGCTTGGCACTGTTGACATATTCTTCGCAATTGAAGTTTTTTAATTCAGCTTCCTTCAGTTTCAATTTTTCTTTTAACTGTTCAACTTTTGTTTTAAGATCCTCAATTAGTTTCATCTCATTCTCAGCTTTTTTTTTTTCATAATTTATCCTTAAAAAATAATCATCAATGAATGCTTTATCATATTCTAATTTTTTAATATTTATATCTTGTATTGATTGTTTACACCCTTTTTTAAGTGAATTTAATTCTTCTGATATCTTAGTCATTTCTACATAAATATTTCTTATATTAGTTTCAGGAACATTTAAATTATCCACATTTTTATTCTCTCCTTTAATTTTATCTGTTTGTATTTTACATCTCTTTTTTATATCTCCTAACCTTCCTTCATACGAACTAAAACTATTTAAAATATTTTTAATACCTTGAGCTATCTCACTTTGTTTTCTCTTGATATTTTCATTTTTTATTTTTTCCATATCTTTTTCCGAATTGAAATTTTCGAAATTTTGCTTTGTTGATTTTAAATTATTCAAGATTTCATCTATATTATTATTAATCTCGTGCTCTAATTTTAATACACGATCATAAAATAATTTTGCAATGCTAGAATTGTGATTCTGAATTAAATATTCAATATCTTTTTGTAACTTTATGCTTTTTGATTTAAGCTTATTTATTTTGTCTGTTATGTTAGTGATTTTAATTTTTTTTTTTGATGCATCTTCTGAGTGAGTACTTCCATCTTTTATAGACTGAATATTATCAACAGTTTTTTTCGAGCTTTCAGTAGATTTTAGTAAGTTAGTTGATTCTTGATTTAGATCATTAGCTTCTTTTATTATATCATCTATTTCATTTATTTTTTCTTTTAATTTATTTAATATATTAACTTTTTCCTCTTTATTTATTAAAGTATCCTTATTAATTTTATTATTTTCTGCATTAACTTTTTCTTTTAAATTACTCATATCTCCTTTAAAATCATTAATGGATTTATTATTTTTATTTGATACATTTAAAATATAGTTAAGAACTTTGAAAATTTCTATTTTTTCATTTGAATGTTTGATGGTATTCACACTATTATCTATCATATCAGTTATACTTTTAAAGTTTCTTTGATGACCCATTAGTTGGTCGTTTATTTTCTCTTTATTAATATTTTGTTTTAAAATTATAAGATCATTAATAACCTTAATTCCCTTAAACTCCACAAAAAATTTTTCTACTACACTATACAAATTGAACTGATCTTTAATAGTATTTATAATTCCTTTTTCATTATTTATTTGTCCGGAAATTTCACCTTTATAGTTAGCATGATTTTTGCTAAAATTTGTTGCTTCATTAAGGATGTTACTTCTAGGAATGTTAGTATTATCTTCTTCAATATATTTATTCAAATATTCATTTTTCATTTTTATAATATTACTTTCATAATTTTTTAATGTTAGTTCTTTTTTTTTATAATCTGATATTTTTAATGATACTTTATTTTTAATACTTTTAAAGTTTTCAAATGAAATTTTCATTTTATTGTATAAATCTTCAATTAATTTAATTTTAACATCATTCTTAAGTTTCTTGGAATCGTTTATTGCATGTATTGTATCATTTTGTGATTTTCTAGCATTTATTATGATGCTATCCATTTTATTATACATCTGCTTGGCTTCATCAAATATTTTGTTAAGATCATTTAAACCATATTTTTCATAATGCAATTTACTTTTTTCTATTATAAATTTTGATATAATATTCATTGTGTCAGATTTAATAGCATTATTTAAATTATTATTTGCTGTGTTAATTCTTTTTTTTATTTCATTCATTCTTTTTGTATGTTCTTTCAAATCACATGATGATCCATTAATTAATGCTTCAATTGTTTTTAAATCTTCATTATCCGTTCCATTTAAATTTTTAATTTTATTTAAATCACTTATCTTTAATTTTATTTGTTCTAATTTATTCTTAATAGAGCTTATAATATTTTTTTTAGATTTGTCTTCTTTCTCTTTCAACGTTTTTAGTTCATTATTTTTTTGTAGAACAATAACTTTAAGCTTTTTAACTTGATCTGATAATTCTCTTAACTTATTATAATCATGATTCAACTGATGAAATGAACTATTTATTAATTTTATATCACTTTCAAAACTGTCTCTATTTTCTAAGAAATCCAAAATTTCAGAATCTGTCCTATCCATAGAAATAAATGATATTCCATCTTTTGCCATTTGTATTAAATATTTTTTCGTGTTTATAACTAAATATTGTTTGTTAATATTAACACCTAAATGTTTCATGTTGTCATTATGAGCATTTATTTTAGAAAATTCATTAATAAGTTCATTTTTTTTACTAGAAAATGATGAACTATGATAATTGTTTGATAAATACTGTATGATTTTAGAGATCTCCTTAATAATGTCATTTACATTACTTAATATAGTTTGTGAATTTGAATTAATTTGTGCGCTTTCTAATAACAAATTCTTAGGATGTGCTAACGCGATTAACATATTTTCTAAATCTCTTTCCGAATTTCTAAGAATATCATAAAATTCTTTTTTTTTAAGTTCAAAAATTTCTCTATATTTTAAACTCATGTTGTAAGCAAGTCTAAGTTCACAGGTGGCTAAAATAAAATGGAAAGATTTGTTCATTTTTTCTGTATTTTCAAAATTAAACGTTCCTATATTAGACATTGAAGTTATTAAATAATTCCTTATATTCTTTATATATTCTCCATTTCCTGTAAACCAAATTTCATTATAATGAATATCTGTTATTATTTGTCTCAATGCTTTCGCAGTTTCTTTTTGATTTGGTTGTTTGTTTTTATACGATAATACATAAAGTGAGAATGTAGTAAAATTATTATTACTTTCCATAAAAGTACTATGCTCAATATCATATCCATTAATCTTATCTTCAGTACCTTCTATATAATTTACACAGTCAGAAGGAAATGATTCAAACGTAACACCATTTATTTTATACTTTAAATTCATGTAAAGTTTTTTGTTTTTTTCAGTACATTCCCAAATAGTAGCATCTATTTTACTATTATAATCAGTTATCAACCTTTTAAAATCCTTAAGTTGTACGATTTTTTTATTTCCTTGTGTCTTATTGTTAAGTGACTGTATATATTTCATTTTACCTTCTACTTCTTTTCTAGCAGATTTATAGTAATCTAAAGTTTTTTTTGTGTATGTTTGTAACTCGCCTAGTTGTGAAACTATGAAATCATGTTTCGAATTTTTATGCTTTGGAGGTCCACTATCTATTTTATATGCTAGGTATATGCTTACATTATCATGAATGTCTTTCATTAAATTAGAATTCGTATCAATTTTTTTAATTAATTCTGAATAGCTTTTTGAAATATCATTGTTATTTAATAAAGAATCTACCATTTGAGTAAATAGAATTTTTGTATTATTTAGATCTTCATTTTTTTTTTTTAAATTATACATTTTAGATAAATTACGTTTATTTTTTTTCATATGAATAGGATTCATTTGTTTTTTATATATTGAAGAATTTTTTAAATCTATGAATGACATAATTCTAGATAAATATGATTGTTGTTTCGCTTCTTTTTCTAAATTGTTACTTTTTTTTTTGTGCTTGTATTCATTTAAAATATTGTAATTTTTAGGAATTTTAACAAAATACTTTTTTTTTTTGGAGCTATTTTCTATGTATGAATAAGGTGATAATTCTTCTATGTCAGCTTTGAATTTATTCGATTTTACTCTAACATTTTCTTTTTTACTTAAGCCTACATATAAATAACATAGAAATTAAATTATATTGATATGTGAAATAAAAATAATAAATATTTTCGAGAAATAAATAATAGAAAAGTAAATTTAATAACACGTGTTTATATACATAAGTACATACTATTACCTAAAATTACAAATGGCATTACCAAACATATTAAGCGAAAATATGTTTTTTTCATTATTATAACAAAATTAATATAATTATTTTTTCTTATTTATAAAAATAATTATAATTTATGTAAAATGTATTTACATTTTCTACATATTGCTTGTGAAGGTATATTTATATAATTCTTTCTTAATTGCAATAAACATTTTAAAATAAATATAAAAAATAATAAAATTATATATACATGTGTATGATTTATTACAAAAATTAATTAAAATTAAAACGTAAATGATTGAGTGGATTAAATAAAAAATATAAAACTAAAAAGAAAAGGACAAAATAGTTTTAAAGTTAATATTTTTATTTTTAAATAAAAATCATATATGTATATAAATATATGTTTCTAACAGGGTAGAAAATTTATTAATGTTATTTAGTTATATTAATTATTTATTAAGAATGATATAAATATAAATCTATAAAAAAAGTCAAAAAAAACAAAACAATACAAAATTAATATGAATATATTTATATTTAAAAAAATAAAAAAAATAGGATTAATAATATTAATTAGTAAATTATTCTTGAAGTATAAAAATAAATTTACAAAATAAAATTGTGTTGAATAATAAGTCTATTATATACTATAACCCAAATGAGAGGAGTCTTAGTTTTTATTATTTATTTTTATGAAAATTCAACCTTAAAATTTTTTTTTAACTTACAACATAAAATATTGAAAAATCATTGGTAAAGTGTAACAATACAATTAATAAAAAAGAAAATTTAAGCTCTTAAATGAAGATAGTTGATTGTAAAAATATGGGATATATTTATTTATGCATGTGGTTTATTAATTGGGTGTTCGGTTACTTTGCTAAAATATTGAACAAACAAATTAATAAAGATCGTGTAGAGTTGCTTCTACGGTTTTAATGTATTTATATATACTTTCATATTCTTTGAAGGAGTGATTCTTAATTATGTAATCTACTTCATTCAGCATTCTTTAATTTCAATAGGCACTTATTTACTTAAATAAAAATCCTTATTGCACATTGATTATTAATTAATTGTAAATTATTTATTTATTTGTTATGAGTTACCTTCAACAATTAATATATATATGGTTGTTGAATTAACAAACATTAACAATTATTTACAAATTTCAAAAATTATACAAATATTAATTACATGAAAATTTTACTGTTATATGTATAAAATTTTCTTTTACAAAATTCATTACAAAAACATATTTCATTTCCTAAAAAAAAAATTCTTTTTTTTTTTATTTATTGGAAACATATTTTTTTCAAATTGATTTTTTTTTTGTGTGTGCAGGGTTCAGGGTTTAGGTTTAGGGGTTCAGGGTTTAGGTTTAGGGGTTCAGGGTTTAGGTTTAGGGGTTCAGGGTTCAGGTTTTAGGTTTAGGGTTCAGGGTTCAGGGTTCAGGGTTCAGGGTTCAGGGTTTAGGGTTTCAGGGTTCAGGGTTTAGGT